GGGCTCATCTGGACCAAGGGTGAGTCTCCCCCTCAGTTTCCCCTGAAGGATCTTCCGTCGCTTTTGCCTTCTCCCTACATCTCCGCTCAGGTGTCCGGCTGGAGCTGTCGGGAGTTGCTGCCGCCGGTGCGGCTCCGGTCCCGCGTTGCCTTGGGAAGGGTGGGGCAAAACCAGGAGCCACTGAGCCTGAGCCTCCGGTGCCGCTGCTGCCGTTGCAAAGCGCTGCCGCGGCTCTTCCTTTTTGCCTTTCCCTTCCCGAGGCGACGCGGGACTGGGGCCACGCCGGCGGTAGCGACTCCTGACTCAGGGGGCCTCCGAGGGGAGGGGAAGAGAGTGACTCATGCCTCCCGCTGTCATCATCTTCTTCTTCTTTTGGGTTAGTGAATCAATTAAACCTTTCATGATAGTGAGATCGTTTCCCAAATTAATTATTTTTATTTTTGAAATTTACCAGTAGCTGCTGCATTTCCCACCCTCGACTTATACTCGAGTCAATAAGTTTTCCCAGTTTTTTGTGGTAAAATTAGGTGCCTCGGCTTATATTCGGGTCGACTTATACTCGAGTATATACGGTACTCTGTATGAAAAAAAAATTAAGAGTCAATCCGATTTTCAAGTTAAATGATTTTGGATAGAAGGTCTAAGAAGGTTTTCCACCTCACACAGCCTGGAAAATTGTCTGTGAAATCAGATTTCTATTAAATTGAGATGCACAAGCATTTGGATCTGGAGTTTTACTATCTTAAGAGCTCCACCTGATAATTCAATCTATTTCTTCATCTTGCTTTCAACCAGTTGTTACAATGTACAAAAACATCTTGCCTTTAAAGACCACTTGGGAATTTCAAACTGCTACAGCACGCAACATTGGAACTATTCCAGCCTTAGATCCCCAGTTGCTATTAGACTACAACTTTCCTTACCCTAACAACTGGGGTGAAAGGGATTGATGTCTAAAGTAACATGGAGACCAGAAATTACAAAGATATAAGCCGAACAGTAAATACATATTATATTAGCTTTGTATAGGCCAGAGAGTCATTGACTGAGATGGGTGGCTATAGAAATAGATATGATAGGTAGGTAGGTCGAGACAGACAGACAATCAGCTTATTTCCAAGTTGAATTTTATATCCTGGTTTAAAACCAAAAACTCAAAACAGAATATTTCCAGGGACAGGTTCTTTTAGAGAGTAGCTCCAATGCTTATTAGAAAACTAGAGCCTACTGGGAAGAGGTTTTCCCACAAGGTAGGCTCAGCTATGGGAAAAAGCTGCCAAAAAGTTAATTAATGAATTCTGTTCTTAAGGACTTAAAAGAATTTCTTCCTAAGGTTGCCTCTTGCATTTTTCAAACAAGTTTTGACTATGTATTGTAATACCTTTTTAATAAGTTTATGCTAGGCCACATATCAATTTTTATTTTCTACTCTTGATGTAAACTTTTAAAATTGTTGTGGCATAGTGGTATCTCTCCCAAATAAAATGGTGGTACGGTAGCTTCTATTTGTAGATTTTAAACTGTATGTATAAATGAAGATGTCCTAAGGCTGTGCCACACATTTGATATTTACCTTAAGGATTGAATTTGTAATATAAGTAGGATCTGCTTTCTTCATTTTACATTAGAAAATGAGGGTGGTGCAAAACCTTGTAATTAAAACATTAATAAAATATGTGGGAAACAGGCTGGATAGCCAGTCTATTCCTACATCATGCATAGCTATAAATATATTGCAGTAGCTAAAACACTTTCTCTCTTCAATACTCTCTTCAATACTATTCCCATCAATGTTTATGGAAAGTCCATCTTGAACAATTTATAGCAAATATAATAGTTATCTGAGGGTGGGAGGGACAAACAAGCCCTTGTAGCCTATTGGGTCAAAGTTGTGTTACCTTCCAGTAAACAGCCCGAAGTTACTGTGGATATGAGTATTCTGGGATGTAATTTCTTAACTACAGGATTCAATGGAAGGGAGGAAATGGTACTATAATTACCAGGACTTCTCAGTGAAGAATAAATTTCATCAAAGAGCAACTTGAAAACTGTAAGACCAAAATATATTAGAAGCTAATCTTAGTTTTGCCACAGGTTGGAGACCAACCTGATTTTAGAGCTAGCTTTAATGATTTATCTTAAAGAAATATGTTGTGTATTGTACTGGCCTTGAGATGCCTCTAGCACAACTCTTAGGTTAGTAAGATAGAGATGTGAACTTCAGCCCACAATCCTGTTTATGTTTTATGCAATCTCCAGCCAACCGTATTATCAGCATGTGTGGGGTCCTTGGTGCTCTGAGCTTGGTTATCTTGCAGATGTTCTGCTGAGAGCACCAAGGACCCCACAGTTCAACCATGAACTATGGATATTCTTTTCTATCTGTACAATAACAGCATCTGCTTGCGTTCACTGAAAAAGACCAGCTTTGAAATTCTGGATAGCACTGTTTTAAATCTATGGCACAAACTGTAGTTATTCATGCTTATACTATAATGCACATTAGTATGACAGACTATGAAAAGCATCACATTTATAATGCATAAAACTTTAGGACTAGTCAACTTATAGCATTTATGTATCAACTGGTATTTTCCTTAAAGTTTTTGGCACTTCCGTAGAGAAAACAATGTTCCCAGAAGCTTGATTATGACAGAATCAGGCTTATACTCCACATTCTTTATTATCTACATGGGGCTGCCTTGAAGACCATCCAGAAACTTCAACTGATCCAGAATGAAGCAGTCCAGGCAGTGATGGACATACCCGCCCTTTGCCTATGTAACATCAATGTATGGAATGTGAAGGATGTGTGTTTGTGTTTATTTTCATAGTACACTGAAGATGGTATTTAATTTTGTTGTACAAGGTGCAATGACAACAAACTAAACTAATTTCTGCTTCGCAAGCTGCATTGGTTGCCATGTAGAATCAAGGCACTGATTATTACCTATAAAATTCTACATATCATAGGTCTTGGCTACATATGGGAACACTCATTTCCCTTATTATCTGCCTGGCCAATTTGATCAAAGCAATAGACTTATATACCGCTTTATAGTACTTTACAGACCTCTTTAAGTGGTTTACAGAGTCAGCAAATTGGCCCCAACTATTTGGGTCCTCATTTTACCCACCTCAATAGGATGGAAGGCTGAGTCAACCTATAAGAAATGCAGTGTAGTAACTGCATAGTTACATATAGATATATATATATATTTTGCAGAAATGGCAAATACATATGATACTTTGAAAGGACTGCTTCAACTTTGCTCAAGGTAAACAGCTTCAATGAGCTGATTTTTACAACATGATATCTGGACGGGATTACAAAAAGATCACACAATGAACTGTTAATCCACATATCAGACTGAAAGCAGCAAAGTAATAGGGGTAATTAGCTGGCAGTTGGCTGGTTTATAAATCAAGGTTTTGTGCCCACATGTGGGATGTCTTCTGTTCCAAAGACATGAAATACTTCTATTAATTCAGTATCAGGTCACCAAGTGACCAAGGCTTTTCCTGGGTCAAAACAAGCTCCTCAGCTACAAACTGTTCTTTAAAAGCAGAGACTAGATAACTATTTTAATATATAGAATAGAATAGAGAGTTTCTACGATATATCTCACGTTGACTTTATCAAATAAGGATAGGTTTTGGTTGCTACATGAATTGATGCCTATAATAAGTCTTATGTACAATTGCTCAACAACCTATTCATCAGATACCTTCAATTTATGATTTTATAATCTCTTTTTACTTAACCCAAGTGTAAGCTACTGAATCTATACAGCAACAAAACTGAGCGGCTCTTTCATTTGTTTTTCATTTACTCAGATTTCTTGGAATGAACAGGGCACTTTGAAACCCGAGCAGTTTATTCCGAGAAACAAAATGATGTCCACACAAACAAGTCTTCATTCAGTTATTTGCCGTAGTGAAAATCTGCAAAATACACAATTTCAATTTTCCTTCCTCTTTAAAAAGATTATAGATCAAAAAACAAATCAAGAAATTTAATTTTATTACACTTTAAAGCAGATGGCAAAGGAACTTAAGGCAGGATCATATGATACTTTCACACAAGTGTGTAATAATAATTCATTCTACACTGTCACAGATCCACATAGAACTTGGACGCAATCCAAGGAGCCTTCATATAAACAGGTTCTGACTTGCTTTGCAAAAACTCTTTCTCCAACATCCCAAAATTTCACACTGCCAAACATCTCAGCTATGTTGAGAAAAGCAATGCTATATTCAAGTAAGCTTTTAAAAGCTATTTCTGAACAAGGAAAGAGCCTTATATTTCATACCTGCAGTCACAAGACAGAAAGCTCTCATTGTAACAAACTCTTAATGCATTTCTTTAATAAAAACCCCAAATTTCTTAAAATATTGCCATTAACAACTATTGCCATTCCTAATCAGGCTATTGGAAGGTATTTTGTGACCTGTGAATAATGCTATTTCTGAGAAAATATTCTCCTTCCCAAATTCTGCCATACCACAGAAACCCAGCTTTAGAATTATACATAACAGCAATTATCAGACACGAATTTATAATTCAAAACTCCTTTTGACATCCAATTTTAGTTAGAATAAGATATTTCTATTGCATTATAGAATAATTTCTAGCTTAAAAACAACACATATTAAGAAATTCATCTGATGAGCTGAAAACTTATTAAAAAGTGTACATGGCAAAGAAAAATGCCTTGAACCAAACAAATTTAATAAACAAAGGATCTTTTTAAAGGATTCAAACATTATGAAATGTGTCTCTAAGTTTAAAAAGCTCATACTAGTCACATAATCAATTCTGGCTCCTAAAATTAATCCTGTATTCCTGCTTATAAAATTCTAATCTTCTGCAAGTATTTTATACAGATGACAGAATACAAAAACCACAAAAGGATTTCAAATATTCATATTGCTCTGCCTATAATTGTCACTATCTTGAAGCTCCTACACAGCAAAGGATGATTGCCCAAACTAACCTCTGTGCCATACCAACCCAGCTGAAAAGTACTTTTCACTCGAAGATGGATCCAACAGGAAAGGGTTGCTTCTACTGGAAAAAGTAAAATCAAAAGTTGAAAAGGCAGGACTTAAAAAGCTGCTTCTTGTCCTATCAAACTAAACTCCTCCCTTTAGCCCAAAGCGCTTCGATTCCTACTAATCTGCATTGTAGTGGACCTATCAAAACTTGCAATTTGTAGAATGGATGGGAGGAGGAGCTAGCATGCTTCTGTGAAATTGCCTCCATCTCAAACTTTGGGCAGCTTGGACGTTCTTGTTAAGTCTAAATAAGGTGGAATTGTTGGATCCATTTTCTAGTGATACTTTATAATAAATCCAACCATCCTTCTCAGTCACAATAGAGGAAGTCAAGAAGAAAGGGATATACAGGTAGTCCTCGACTTACCACAATCGAGCCCAACATTTCTGTTGCTAAATGAGAAATTTGTTTTGCTCCCATTTTATGACCTTTCTTGCCACAGTTAAATGAATCACTGCAGTTGATAAGTTAGTAACCTGGTTAAGTGAATCTGGCTTCTCCATTGACTTTGCTTGTCAGAGGATGGCAAAAGGGGGGATACTTCAAGGGTCATAAGTATGAACCAGTTGCCAAGCACTTGAATTTTGATCACGGGGATGCTGCAAAAGTTGTAACTGTGAAAAACGGTCGTATAATTTTTTTCAGTGCTGTTGTAACTTTGAACAATCATTAAATGAACTGTTGTAAGTTGAGGACTACCTGTACTATTGCATTTTGCCATGATAGATCAATGGAACAGTTTATAGCACGCAATGATTTTCTACAGCTCTTCTCTTGAAATAGATGTTACAAATGGCTGTAAATGCAAAGCACTCAAGATGCAATCATGGGTGTGACCATCACAACTGGGTCGTAAGTACCTTTTGGAGAGTCCATTGTAACTTCAAATGGTAATTAAGCAACCAGTCATAAGTCAAGGACTACCTGTATTACTTAAGGAAAAAAGTTTGTGGAGAATTTGTATTGATTATCTATGGAGATTCTCAATCATCCAGGCCATGGTTTTCCAAAAGGTGCTTTTTCAAAAGGCAAAAGGACTTTGTTTTTCCTTGAAGACATTTTACGTTTCATCCAAGGAATTTCAGGACTGAAGAAGCTTCTTGGATGAGAAGCAAAATGTCTTCAAGGAAAATCAAAGTCCAGTTGCCTTTTGAAAAAGCACCTTTGGGCTTTTTATTGATTCTTTTATTGCATATTAGATCTAGCTTAAAGCAATTAATCTCAAAACAATCTAACTCACATGAGCTCTCAATGGAATGTGCCTCAGTAAAACACAAATACTGATCTAGAATCAATGAGGAGTGACAGACTATAAAAATAAAACCCAGATTTCAAACATTATACAACAGAATACATTTATTCTGCCTATCAGAAATACAATTTTAAGTAAGATTTTACTGTTTTCCAAATAAAGTTTTTATTCTACAAAGTTACAAGCTTCTGCCTTTATGTTCTTTGCTACATCGATGAAAATAATTACCCCCACTCTTTTACCTAACTTAAATAAATTATTAATTTTATTCAGAGAGGTTGAAAATTATATAAATTCATTTATCACAAAATTGTCATTTGTTAACTCCAAATAACATTTGCGCCTATCTGTGGTCTTTAAAAAAAAGTCATGCAATTGATTACAGTATACCGAAATAAAAACATTACACATTTAACATTTCCTATATCTTATAAGCATTTCTAATTAGCTCCCACTCTTATACTTTTAGTATTGTAGTAGAAGCAGGTGCATCCTTTATAATAATCCTGATGTTGCAATGCAACTATGCTATATCTGAAGTGGGAAGTGGCATTATGTCTTTATTTATAGCAAGACTGTTCCATTAAAGATATTTCCTGCTAAGAACATAAGAATAGCTCTTCTAGATCCGGCAAAAACCCATCCTAGTGTAGCATTTGTGTTTTATGGTAGAAAATCAGATACAGGTATTCCTCAACTTACAAGTTTCCTTAGTGACCATTCGAAGTTACAACGGCATTGAAAAAAGTGACTTATGACCATTTTTCAGTTATGACCGTTGTATCCCCATGATGTAATTTACATTTGGATGCTTGTCAATGGACTCGTATTTATGACAGTTGCAGTATCCCAGAATCACGTGATCCCCTTTTGCGACCTTCTGACAAGCGAAGTCAATGGGGAAACCAGATTCATTTAACAACCATGTTAGTAATTTAACAACTGCAGTGATTCACTTAAATGTGAAGGAAAGTCGTAAAATGGGACAAAACTCATTTCATGAGTTTTTTTCTCAATTAGCAACATAAATTTTGTGTTCATAAGTTGAGGACTAAGTGTACTTACGGCGTGCAGTCAGTTGAAGGATGTGCATTCTTTACTGCTAACTAGTTCCCTGCCTGTGGTATTTGGTAGCTGCCTGCGCAACCCAAGAAAAACACTGAATTCTGAAGACTAGTATTCCTTGATGGACATGTTCTCCATAATGTAAATCCTCCATAGTAGTTGCCATTACCATGTCTTGGGATAATGAATTCCACATCTCTGTGATGAGATGCTTTACATCAGGGGTGTCCAACCGTAGCAACATTTAAGACTTGTGGACCTCAACTCTCAGAATTGAGGAGCCCGGCTGGTTGGGGAATTCTGGGAATTGAAGTCTACAAGTCTTAAAGTTGCCAAGGTTGGAGTCTCCTGGTTTACATTGTTGGTTTTAAAACTTCTTCCATTCAGTTTCCTTACTTCTGATCCTAATGTTTTCCTAATAAGAAAAACAGCTGTCTGTCCACCTTCTCTATACCATGCATGATTTTATACATTTTGACCATATCTTCCCCCCCTTTTTTTCAAATGTTTTAGCCTTTACTCAAATGGAAAGTGTTTAAGCCCCATGGTTACTTAAGTTGAACTTTTTGGTACTTTTTCAGAACAAATGTTTTTTCAATTGTTTCTACCACAACTAGATAAACAATATTCCAGATGAAGACATGGCAATCAATTTGTACAAAGGCATAACTGTTGGTAGTTTTGGGTCCTTTTCCTAATGATCAAATCAAATCATTTTTACATTAAATCTTTATTATTGCCTTTGACTAGCCTTTGCAGTAAAAAAAGAGAAAGTTTGCTACAATAATGTGTTACTGGGAATGAAAAAGTAGGACAATAATACAACATATCTATTAAAGTTTTGTGCAACTAGGGTGAAGAAGACATCTTATCAATGTCCCTGGTTCTCTTTTTACTATTGATTTGGCATTCTCCAGGGTTTTCCTCACAACAGCAATCTTGTGAGATACAGTACTGATAAGAGAATGATTGGCCCAAAGTCATCCAATGAGTTTTCATGGCTGAAAATAGGCTGAATCTTTCTCCAGTGCCAGTGTAATGTTGTGTGTGAAGTTAATGGGTTTTTTGTATCCAAAAGTGCATGACATACATTTAAAATGAATTACGTTTGCTATTTGGTTAATATTTATCCAGCTGAAATAAACTTTTCTAGAGTTCTTTACCATTTTTTATTTTCATCCCAAACTCGCTGCTTACTCCAAATCAAGATGCTTCATGAACAAGTTGGAAGTCCTTGTTTTCAATATTGAAATTACTTCTGGAAAGAATTCCAGTTCTTTGTTCCTTCTCTGAGAAAACTACCCATTTATTCCTGTGCCTTGCTTTCTAGTTATTAAACAAATAGCAATTCATATAATTCTGTGAAGTATTTGTGTCCTTTTGGATTTTTTTTAAATCTTTGCCACTGAATGTTATTATCAATGTTACTAGTAGGCCCAATAAATACATAAAGGAAGTGAGTAAATAAAGCTTCAGATTATATTATATTTTACAGTGACATTAACAAAGTGGACTGTTCAAAGGAAAACAGTCAAGATAATAAGGGATCAAAAGAAAAAAAATGTGCATGCCAATGGATGTGTTAAAACATATTTAACCTGCAGAAGACATGATACCCTGTTTCTCCAACAATACGGCCTCCCCCAATAGGAAGTCCCAGCATGTTTTATAGGCATGAAATGAAATTAAGCCCCTCCCCCCAAATTAAGGCCTATATTAAAACATGCAAAATGGGGGGAATGGTGGGGGGGGCTTGCCATTAGGAAGTACTTTTGTTGCACACCCGGATATGGTGCTGCCTGCGTTGACCCTGATACGAAGTGCCCCACCAACGCCGAGGTCAACATCCAAGCCGTTGCCGCCCGCCCAAAGATGCAAGGGGGGGGGGAATTAAGTCACCCCGGAAAAGACGGCCTAGCCATTTTTTCAGGGCTCAAAAAAAAATAAGACCCGGCCTTATTATATGAGAAACACGGTAGTTGTCTTCAAACATCTGAAAAGCTGTGGGGTAGAAGGTGGGACAAAACCCCTCAGGACTGTTCCAGAAGACAGGATAAGAAACACAGATTTCAAATGATGTTGGGTGGACATGAAAAAGAATCTCCTAACAATAAAATCTATTTTTAAAAAACGAAACAGGTTGCCTCAGGAGCTAGCATTTCCATCAATGGAGTGTTTCCATCAATTCAACACAGGCTAAATCTGTTGACAATGCTGTACTATGGTCTCTTGAATTGAGCTAGATAATCTATGTGTTTAGTACCTGTTGCATAAATAAAAACAAACTGAGATATGCCAATGTGAAAAATTTACCGTCCACTTAGTTCAATCAACTTTATTAAAGAACTTATTTTAATGAAGTATTCATATATCTAGCCCAACCATCAAACTCCATAAATTTCACAAACTTTTACTCTCCTCTTGTAAATTTCTTAAGATTATAGAGCACTATTTCCCCACTTCAGCCATTTCTAGGTAGAGGAATTTCCAAGCCCAGAATTCCACAGTAGTGGCATTGATGAGGGTACTGAGAATTGAAGTTCATACAGCAAGAAAATTTGCCAAGGTTGGGAAATAGAGTTCTAAAGGTACTGTTTCGAAAGCCTCTGTTAGAAAGTAATTCATGCTTTTGAGTCTACAAA